ATTAGTGGGAAAATTAACCGGCTCACGTCAAAATTACGAACTAGACAGTCCTCTTCCTTTCCTGAATTTAAACGTAGTTTGACCGAACGTCTCGAAAATCGGAAATGTTTCCCAGGAATTCCATCGTAATCAAAAATGCCTGCGAAAAAAATTAAGGAAAACGCAAAATCCGGTGATGAAACGTTACCTTAACCCTTGACCGACGTTTCACAAATAAATCATCCCGATTACTTTCAAAATTGTTTTCGAAATTTTCGTTGGAGTATTTCATACATTTTCGCCAACACGTTGAATGAGGTCAATACTGCATCTTCATGCATCATTCTACAGTAATTTAAGCCTCACACTCGATCTAGGTAATTTCACTTGATTTTTTTAGTCCTTACTCTGTGGGAAATGAAAGCACCATAGAATTCAATTCCCGAATTTTTCAAATACTGTACACTTGTACAGTACACAATATTCTGGTGAACGGGTAATAATCGTACGCGGAAAAAATTTTGTACAAATAGAAAATTAAAAAAAATAATGAGCACTTTGGATTCCTCAATGCTGAATTCAAGCTTCAAACATCCATGTTTTTATATCGTTCAGTAGTTTGAACGAAATGTTCTCGCCATTTCGAACATCTTTTTTTTCTGAGGGAGGTTCTTTCTTCTTTCAACCAAAACAGGAACTATAAAATTAAACGTCATTCAAAAGCGATTGAATTGATTTCTTCTTCTAGCCAGAATTAAGTCTTCTTTATTTTATTTTTCCGTTCAGTTTGTAATCGTTTTCAGAAGGACAGACGTACCGATCTCAGCTCGGCCTTTCTCGTCGCTTCATCGAAGTACTCAGTTTTCGTGCACCCATTTTCCCCTGGACTCGGAGCATCGTAATAAATCGAAGGCTCGGGTTCGTGAGCCACTCTCACGTCAGACAGAATCCTACCAGGACTGCTCCTGTATTCCATAGGCGGGTCTGCTTGGACAGTGGCCGAAGAGCACATGGCCATCCTGTCCACAACGCGGATCTCGAGCTTTCCAGACACTGGTACAGGATTAAGTCCCTCTTCATCGTCTTCGTCGTCGTCGTCTTCTTCCTCTTCGTCTCCTTCTTCGTCTCGGATTTGGTTGCTCACGTCGTTGGCCTTGTTATGGTACGAGTGTTGGGGGATGATGATGGCGCTGGGCGGAGGTTTGGACGTCGGAGGCGCGCTCAGTCTTCTACAAGGACCTGTTGAAAGAAAAAATCATAGTTTTTATAGGTTTCAAATTGGCCACAATTCATATTTAAGGAAATATTTGTACATTTTTTGCAAGAGAACAAATTGTGAATAACGCGCGGTTGCACCATCAATGCAGCATAACAGTTGGAAAAACTAATTGGCTCCCTCCTATACAACAAGTGAGCTTGTTGGAATGCTCCATTAGTCTTGGGGAAAAGCCATAAAAGGGGGACGCAAACCCCAAATCTTGGTCATTTCTTTGCCAAAAGCAAGCCTGTCACCAAAAGCGTCAGAAGAGCATTAAAAATTTGTATTGCGTCTTGGACTGCATTTAATTTACACTCGGCGTTTCTTCAGCATTTGTGAGACTGGAAACTCAGTGAAAACGAACTCTACCCAAAAGAATCTTCACACATATATTTTTCCGCGTCTTATGAATACGATTTAAAACGCATCAAATTTCAAATCTACGTCAGCTGTTGCAAGCTTCTATCTACGCAGACAATCCTCAGCATTAAATTGAGATCATAAGAATGATCCGGAGTAACTTCGATACGCTTGGCACTTTAAAATTCCTCAAAGAAAAGTTCAATTGCAGATCGACGTTCGGAATCTGAAACGGATAGGATTGCCTCACAATCTTGAAGTCCTGCGCAATTTTTCATCGCTAAATCCTTTTTTAAAAGCCTAATTCTAAAGACTCACAGCGAAAAATTAACAAGGATCTCCCAGAGACGATAAATGTCCCAAGACAATTGAGAGAGAAAATTTTTTTTTTATCTTCATGGGACGACCGTGGACGAAGATTCAGCAAGATGCATCTGGTTATACCACGACAAAAATAACTCGATTTGGAACGAAAAAGGAAACTCAATATCGTGCATCTTGATTTTTATCACGCCATTGCCAGACTCAGAGAAATTCTCACCACTTCACAATACTGATTGGTCAATTAATTGAAAATTAAACAGCTGAAGTTAAAATTACGAAGAGGAAAGGTTTCTTCATTTCTCATCACTGAGTCTAAATTTTGTTCGTTATAAATGAATGTTTCATCAATCGGTAATTAATACACTACTCGAAATTTACCATCATCAAAAAAATACTTCAAGCAGAATTTAAGGACAAAATGGGATCCAGTTATTGAAAAACGGCCTAAACTTTGAAAATTAAATTCAAGTTTGGTGCAGCTTAATTTTTTTATGAAAAATCCTTCGTACCAGGCAAGAATATTTCAAAAATCTGTATTCAAACAAGAAATCGTATCATTTTCTCGTCTGAATTTAGCACTGCATACTGTAAAATTACTTTCTCGGCTCACCTGTTGTGCTTCCATGACGAGGACTGCCGTTGATCATATCATCGCCAATCTGCATAGCAGCCACGTTTCTCGTCATGTCTAACTCATACGCGTAGTCATCAAAACTTGCTTGCTGCCGCATCGGAGGCTCCAAATCAAGTCTGGATAAAAGAAAAAAAAAAACAGCTTCAATTATTGACAAGGGATCCAAAAATTAAAGCAATTCCAAGAAAATATCGAGAACGAATTTAGAAAAATTATCAGGAAAGACTATTGGAGACTTCGTCAATTTTTGGATTAACCGAAAGAAAAAAAGACTTGTGCTTTCTAGATTTTTCGTAAGTTTACAAGCAGACTCCGCGTTGCATAACCTCGGCTGTACCTCAAAATGTTCTCAAAATACTATGCAGAGATGAAAAAATATCATCAGAAGAAGCGCTGAAGCAGAAAAACATTTTTAAAATGCTTTTCCGAAAGATCCTGAAAACAATGCCGATTCAGACCTGATGTGATCGCAAAGTTGAGGATTACTCCAAGCCTTGCTCGGTGGTCGTCCGCCAATAGGCACTTCATCCACCCCAGGGAACCCTGTGCTCATCACGCCGTGGTCCAGCAGAGGTTTCATTTCCTTCACTAAATCCCGGACTTCGTCGTATTCTTCCTCTTCTTCCCCACCGTCAACGATCAGATCAGGTTTCAACACTCGTCCGGGGTCTTGTGTCACATCCAAAAAATCGGGCGGCGGGCGAATCGCTTCTTCGGGTTCCAACACCTGAAAAAGATAACACATTGATACACTCCATCGTGAAAAAAAAATTATGACCAGATTTGAAGGTGTCCAAGCAATCGACACTTTTTTCATCATCGAGTGGGTGCAGGAAAACAAACTTCAAATTTGATTCACAAGAATTTCGCGCAAGTTTTGCAGCTATAAAACTTCGACAAGAACCTGAAACAATACTTTATTTACTGTTGAAACTCAAAAAAATGTTGTTGACCAAAAAAAAAAAAAAAAAAATTTGTAGGCTCGTTTGTTTAAAAGAAAAATCATGGAAGTCGACCCAGATCTGAAGGTGTCCAACCAAGCGAAAATCTTTGGTTATCGATTGGCCGTCAAGAAAATGAAAAGCTCAAGACTTCCGCGCAGGTTTTTCAGCTAAAAAAGAACCAGAAACCAGTAATCGTTTTACAATTCAAACTGAAAGCAATTTTCTCAACTAGTCTAAAGGGCCCTATTCTTCCCGCATTAAAACAACAAAAATTGGCAAGAAAAAGCAGAAAAAATAAGCTTTAATTTGCTATCATTTTCATACCACTGGGTCGACGTCAGCTACGGCAGATGGAGGCTCAGGCAACTGAGAGGGACACCCAGCTTCTCGAAGGTCTTCCGTCGTTGGCAATTGCTTCGGTTCCAGACAACGGCCGTTTGTTTGCAGTGCATCACTCACGTCCCCTGTGCGCTTCAACACTGACGTTGGCGACGGCGGAACCGCAATTGGCGTCGACACAACAATAAGATTGTCTCCGTTCTGCGATAGTCTCACTCCAGCCTGTGAGTAAAAGAAAAAATAAAAGAAAAAAAACATTTATTAAGAGATGAAAGAACTCTGGAAAAGAGCCTACGCCAAATCTACCAACATTTATTTCTCGGAACTTCAAAGTTCCGGCATTTTCCCTTCCTCTAAAAATGTTCTTTCCAGATCACAAAAATAACCTCGGAACTATTAAACAGCAATTAAAGTGCTTCCAAATAATACTTCAATTCAAAGAGCGAAGTCTCCCCTCGAACCGCTCCGCCATAATTTTCCTGTCATTTGCATACTTAATTCTGACCTAAATTTCTCTCGAAGTGAATCATTTTCCCCTTAATCCCCCGACGTTTGCCAGTCCATGCGTTTCTCACTCTAATACAGTACTTCACAGTACAAAAATAGTCGTGGCATCGATCCTGTCACTGTTGGCTTCATCAGGCTTTTTCGGGTGAAACCTGTGCGAAGTTTCCAAAAGAGAAACCGGTCCTCGGGCGGAAAAAACCCCCGGAAAAGCATTAACGATCATTTCAGAAATCGCCCAAAAAATGAAAAATTAAAAGTAAAAAATTTCTCAACATATTCACAGGAACTCCGAACTTCATTCGGAACGATTTTGCTGAATGCATGAAATATGGCTCGCGCAAGGTTTTTTTTTAATTCTACGCGGACAGAATTCGAGTTACATATTTCCGTCTCACACATAGTCGAACAGTTTCTACACTAGGTTCTTCCCGTCCATGACCACATAAAAAAAAATCCAAGTGAATCAGACGTGAAACTCACATCGTTTCCGGTCAGAACTTGTTGATCCGACCAATCCGGTTCGTTGATTTTAACAGAGTTCGTGCCTGCTCCTTCGGGACTCAGAATGTCGGGTTTCCCGGGTACATCCTTCAACTCGTTATCTGTCTCTTCCGAGTCATCGAAGTGCGACTTCCAGGCTGATGCCATCGTGATTGCTGCGTTAAGAAACGAGACACAAGGTCATAAGTGACACGTGATGATGATAAAAAAATAAAACCTCTGCTTGAAAGCTCAATTTACACACGATGTCGACTTTAAAAATAGGCACGAAAACGACATCTTTGTGAAAGCTCAACTTACACACGATATCGACTTCAAAAATATACACGAAAACGACGAATACTTTCTAAACTCAATTACCGCGGGAGGGATAAAATAATGCAGTAAAATCTCGTTACAACAAAGCCAATGGGACCAGTAAAATAGCTTAATTGTATTGAAAATGGTAGAAGTTTATGATTCGAGACACTATCGGACAGGGAATGAAAAAACGACTCTGTTTCAAGTTATTACTCCATTCGTCAAAACGAGATGCGTTGTTTAGAGATTACACAGTACAGTATATCAAAGATCACGGATACTGTACTAATACTGTAAAACACTCATTTTAAAAAGGTGGAAACAAATCAGGAATAACAAGACGTAAGACACGTGGACTCTCTACAATGATCTTGTCTACGACGATTAGCTCTATATATTGAATACATTTTCAGTCCCATGAAATTCTCTCCCCATGTTACAGGAGTTCTCAACAAAGAAATTCTCTCAACAACGAATTTTTCCTGGTCCATTGAATATCGTCGTACATGGGGTCCACCTGTATTACGAATATTCGTTGTAGAAAATTCGGTTTTCTCCTGGTTCATTGAATTTCGCAGTAGACGGAATACTCTTGTACAGTAATACGAAACTTCTTTGTAGAGAGGATCTCATTGTAGACGGAGTACCAAGCGTATCACAGCAACTGATGGAGCGCATTCGTTCAATTATACGACCAGAGGTGAATAAAACAGCTCTAGTAATAATAACGAGATGAGAAGACAACTTTGCTTCACCTCAATAGATCAAAAATTTAATCGGATCGGATTTAGGGGTAATTAAAACCCAGATGATCAGAATATTTTTTTCTGAACTGAAAATCTGAAATAAAGATATACGTGACAGAAAGCCCCAGCCCATGTTCCCCAGTAGAGCAGTAATTCGAGACCGATCTCATCTACATGGAAGAATAATCGAACCCTCTCGCTCATGTTCTCATCTCGTCACAGAAGATCAGAATAATAAAAAAAACCATTATTTTTCATTTTTTCCATCGCCACGTCACGAATCAATTCCAGAAAGCTCTTCTCCAGGGTGCTTCAACATCACGTCATCAATCAAACTCACCAGCATTGCCTCCCTTGGTAATTTGCTGCTGCGCAGAGACGTCGTCAATTAACGCGAACTGAGTGTAAGAAACGGGATCCTTGTTTGCGACGGAGGAATGATAAGACACGCTCCCGGTTCCACCAGAGCCCCTGTCACCAGCACTACTCCCACGAACTCGCAACGCACTCCCGAACCGACGGTTCTTGAAACCAGTTTTACTCGGCGTCATGCTCGTCGTATTATCCCGACTCAAGTTGTCCATCGAATCAGTTCTCACCGGAGTTCTGGCGTGATAAGAGAAAATTGAATCGGGGTTAAATGCATACGTTATCGACCTGAAAGAAACATGATCAACGAGAATAAATCAAATTTGCGCTTAAAAAACCAAGTATTTTCCGAAGTCTACCAACTCACCCACACACGGAAGGGCTTCTCGATATTTTTCTGAACAGGATAATTTCAAGGCAAATTTAGGTCGAACTTCAATGTACCAGTAGAAAAAAAAACTAAGTTACGGAGGTTTCGACTTCTTTGAGTTAGGAAAAAAGCATTTTTGTTGTTCGAGAGATAGAATTACAGGAAATTTTAATTGGTGATACTCTAGGCTCTAATTGCTTCTTGAATGAGCTGACAGAATGCCGAACTTGGGTTCATTTGCCCGATCAGTCTCTCAGTTCTTCTTCAACGAGTTACATTTTCATCGCTTTTCTCTTTCCCGTGTTAATAAAATAATTGCCAACAGGCATCCGGAAATTTCGAGTTACGGATGTATGATGAATAAGACTTCGAGTTCGGGAGATTTTGAATACATTACTGGAAGGGAATTCAGAGAGGGACTAGGAAAAAATTCGACATAGAGTCGCTCGAGTTATCGAGGCTTAACTGTAATACCTATCGTAATTAAAGATGATACCGCATTTAATGAAGTACCGCGGGCCCCTGAGTGTGACGCACACCCAGATTTTTCGGCCTGACATTTTCAAATAATCATATCCCCAAGTATGACGCGATTTTAGTGACTGAAATACCGCAGTAAATCGAAAATAAGACTAACCGTAATTGGAATTCAAGCATGAATCAAACATGAAATCGATTTTCAATTATTCCCCTTTAAAAAAAAAGTTTTTGAAATTGCTTCTAATGTTCACAATAGAATAAAGAAGACGCGCACCTGGACTTCCAAAAAAATGTTCGCGCAGCCTTCTTTCTTTTTTGATAAAACGGTTCTTGAGTAAATTCGGACATAGCACAATTTATTCCAACTTGTGATTACTGGATTTTCTACGTGCAGAAGGGGAAAACTTGCTTCACTTCGGTCGAAAATTGTTCTTTCGCCAAATACGAACAAAAAACATGTCGATCAACTTGGATGTCATTCCAGTCAAACGACATGGCAGTTACAAGAAACAATGCGATCGCAATCTTTCTTGGAAGTTCTCATTCTTTGAAACCGTTGATTTCTACGAGTCAAGAAAAAAACTATGGCTTCCGCTATCGACAGACGTGTAAAAATGCCAAAAATAAAACAATAAAACTTTTTAAAAATCAATTTAAAAAACTTGGGTGAATACAAATATACAGCACAAATTTTGCATTTGAGGAAACATCATCATCATCAGTACCGAAAAAAAAAACCACGAAATTGTTTTCCCCTCAACCACTTGAAACTACAGTACTGTATCTAGAATCGCAAGAGCGTTTTCTGTCCTCACCTCTGTCCGAAAATGTCGGCAGGAACAGGAAGCGGAAATCCATCGGAACCAGTTGAAACCGGCAAGGCTTGCGGCGGCAAAGTCGTTCTTTCCCGGACGAGAGACGCAGATTTAGGAGCTCCTTCCCCAGTCGTGGCATCATCGTACATCTCAGACACGCCTTCTCGTCTCACTTCGCCTTGGACACCGGGCATAACAGGCAAGTCTTCGTCCTGGGTCTCGTCTTGTCCACCTTCTCTCTCTTTCCCGGCATCTTCGGACTTGGGACTCGAACCGGTCCCTGGTGGGGGGAAAAAATAATGAAAAAAATTGCACTAGGGAATCGTGGGACTTCAGACAGGGCTCGTGGGGTTTATGAGGATTGGATGTGACCAACATAGGAAAAATTCATTGGTTCAGATCGAAGATTAATTTGTCTGAGCATACGCCATTAGAGAAAAGAGAGGACCTGAAATACATTAAAAATAAATAATCTCGAAAATTAACCTCAAATAAGAAAAAAAACTTTCTAATCCATGTAAATGATACAGGTGGACTCTCTCTACGAAAATCTTGTCTACAAGAATTTTCTCCGTACAACAAATATATTTTTTATCCCACAGCATTTTTTATCCATGGATTCTCTTCAAAGAAATTCTCCATACAAAGTTTTTTTTCCAGTCCCTTGAATTTTTTGTTTTGTGGTGAAAGTCTACCAGCATCATAAAAATAGGGTATAATCTCATTAAGACGAATCTTGTCATAACAAATGAATGCTTACAGCAAGTATTTTTCCTTTTAAATAACTACTGTGATCTCATTTTTTTCATCAAATTTTTGTTTATAACGAAGCTTTTTTAAGGTCCCAAACACTTTGACATAACAAGATTTTACTGTACAGTATATGCTTGCAAATTCATGTACTGTATAATTAGTCGGGGGTGCCTGTTCCCACCAGGGCATCACTTTCTGTGGGATATTTAAAATATTTTCTGATCATTTAAGCATTCCAACTGCTTAAGATCCATGAATAATCTTGTACTTGCACTCAATGCACCAGTGCATGAGCATGGGAGTTTCATTACATGCACAGATCCCAAGCTACACAGTCCAAAAGGTTCTCACGAATTCGAAAATTCGGCAATGATAGCATTTCACACATTAAAGCACATCTCGTGTTTTGGATGAACCAGTAACCTCGAGCACGCACATGTATGTATTGTGTATGTATACAGTAGGTCGAATTTTTGAAGAGGCAATTGAATCAATCTATTGCATCTTTTAAATCTGTACATTAACTCATGAATCTAAAAACCTATCTACAGAATTTATAAAGCTTCGTTGCAAAAAGCAATCTAAGGAATAAATGTGCCTACGATTGGTCAATCTTTCAATGCAAAACTGGGATAAGCACATCAACTTCAGCTGTTACAGAAATTTGCATCCTCGGACTGAAGTGGGATGGAAATTGTTCATGGCTAGAATGAGACAAAATCTATTCCCCATTGCAGGAGCTCTCAATATATATTTTTTTACATGGTAAATTAACTAATGTTAAAAAAAACATAAAATAGACGTTTAAGCACTAAAAAAAAGGGGGAAAATAATTAACCTTCGATTAGAATTTATGTACGAAGGGGAAAAACCCGTTTTGATATTGTCTTGACAAGTTACCACATTAACAATATGAATCTCTTCTGTCTTTCTCGCGACGCAAAGTTACAGATACGAACCACTGATGGGCAATCCTTTTTTCGCTTTGACGTGGTTTTCTTTCTGTTTGCGGGAAGCAGCTGCAGCAGGACTCGAACCAGGCGTATCCACGTGATTAGCATTAGCCCAATCATCATTCTTGGGCTCCTTGGGGTAAAGCTTTCGGTCGAGAGAATCCCGGGGATTTCTTGTGCGGGGTTTCAGTCTCGGATCATTTGCGGGAACATTCTGCGAATAAGATTCAAGATTTAGCGACGACGAGTTCGAAGACGAAGAAATACCAATGCAGGATTGAAAAACTCTTTGAACGGAAGCGCATCAGACTAACAAATCTCAGAAATACACATATTAAAGCAGAAGCAGCACGAAGGAACAATTACCAAAAGTTCGAAATTCTCAAAATCAGGTTAGAAATGAGTCAGTTTACTCATACTTGGGTTTTGAAGCTTCCTTTGAAATTTAAAATCTTGTTCTTTTGAAACTCTATCATTTCTACTTTCGCACTTACGCGACCATCTTGAATTGACGCGTGTGCGCTTGCTTTTTTTTTTTACATGATCTTCGGTACTTGATTTTTTTTTGCATGTCTTTAAAAATTCTATGGCAGAATTTGCTGATGGAATTAAGATGTCTTGATCAAAAAAAACGTCTGACACTTCAGCAAAGTTTACGGTAACGAATATCGGCATGTAGGACGACGCCTGAAATCGCAGTACAGGTATTTCTCGTGATTTCTCAGGAAAGACAAATTATTTGATGATCTCTGAATTCCTTCCACACGTAAAACGCATTTCTCCTACATTTTTTTCCTACAAAAAGAAGCAATGGATATTTTTAGATTTTGTTCATAATTTGGCTGACGAACCTCTTGGTCTTTCAAAATAATGCATTTTCCAGGGAAGCAGGTACCATCGTTCGGATCGACAGCAGTAATAATCTCATCGAGCTGATTGTCCGTGGCCATCTGAGTAGCTCCAGTTGTAGCCCTGGAAGAGACAAAACGGATTCATCATAATTATTTCCACATTTCCATAGATGAATAGACGGTCTCACACATGATGCGTTATGAAATAAGTAACGCCAAATGAAAGAAAAAAAACGACTGCCGCACTGAAAAAAAACATCTAATCGAATTTTAAATCATTACCTCAAGATTTAATGTGCCTCAAGTTTTAAAATACAAAAGGCTTGCTTCTTGAATAGTCCAGAATTTTTTAACCTCCCAGACGTTGATGATCATGATCTGCACTCGAATTTAAACTGAAAATTTAAATGAGCGTCTGACACTTCCTTTTAGTTTTCATAATGCGACATTGCGATCAATAATATCGGTCACAAGTTGCAATTTTCCTCAAAGAAAATTCGTCATTCTTTTTTAAAAGATACATCACAATTATTTGAAAATCGATGCACTTTTTGGTCCACCCTGAACAATAAAGTTTCTCAAACACGTGACTTTGCAAAGTCAATTTACACGCAAACACTTTTTTTCGGTTTAAAGGGGCTGAAAGCTTGAGGTTCAATTCATATTCGCAATAAATGATTTCACGAGTTATTACAAAAAGCAAGAAAGAAAAAAAATGCACACGAGACTTTCAATATTGAACTAACAATTTGGTCTGCTTCATGGCAGGAGGGGACGAGTTTTCGGCATTCTGGGTGACGTCAGGTTGAGGGACCTTTTCCCAGTCGAAAGGATCACTGTCCTTGACACCACGTTTCTTCATACATCTCTCAAGCACACCGTGCAATAAAGCGTAATTCGGTTTGTCCCAGTAGTCCAGGCTTTGCACATGATCCAGAAATTGGCGGAAGTCCGACGGCATGTGCTTCAACAGCGAGCGATGATCGTATTTTTCCTTCATCACTCCGACCTGATCAAAATCAACGAATATCACGAGTCGAGAATAAGATCACAACATCAAATTAGCAATTTCTTCTTTCGAATCCACTGATTTCACCACTTGAAAAAACTACCAGTATAATCAAGTAAAATTTCTGAATGTTTGCTCCTGGAGAGGCAGAGATTTTCATCCAACAACCCGAAAGCAATGAACAAAATAAACTGGAAATTCAAGAAATCATATTAAATTCAAGGGACGTCCGGGTTTTGGCGTTGGAATTTTATTCCTGAACTAGCTTAGTAATACTTGACTAAAACGTCGACTAATCGGCATTGTAAGACCATCTCGAATACACAGCCTCATTTTCAGTTCTCGAGATTACCATCAAGTACGTCAACTCCAGACACGGAATAAACAACGAGGAACTTGATCTTGACGAGTGAATAATCAAAACAAATCATGTCTGCGCAAAATTAGTCGGCGGGAACCTAATACCCACAACCCGATTTTTCATCGACGTTCAACGTGTACGCGGGTGAGAAACGAATTTTTCTACGCAGCCAAAAAAAAAATTTGAACAGAATGAAGCACAAAAAATGAGACGAAGGAATTCGAATTTAAAATTTTAATTCAATCCTTTTATTTTTTTATTTCACGAAGCATTTACGATGGAAAATTTTTGAATGGTTTTCCGTGAATTTTTGAACTACTTTTCGGGGAATTGGAGAATTCAAATTGTTTTGCGAACTGAACTCNTAATCAAAACAAATCATGTCTGCGCAAAATTAGTCGGCGGGAACCTAATACCCACAACCCGATTTTTCATCGACGTTCAACGTGTACGCGGGTGAGAAACGAATTTTTCTACGCAGCCAAAAAAAAATTGAACAGAATGAAGCACAACAAATGAGACGAAGGAATTCGAATTTAAAATTGTAATTCAATCCTTTTCTATTTTTTTCAATTTCACGAAGCATTTATGATAGAAAATTCTTGAACGGTTTTCCGAGAATTCTTGACCTACTTTTCCGGGAACTAGAGAATTCAAATTGTTTTTCGAACTGAACTCTTAAACTAGTTAAGCTTGCAAAACGATGACAAAATTCTTCTAGTTTCCAAAACGTTACACAACCATGTTCCGTGCATTAAAACAAGGACAGTTGAAAAATTGGAAGACGGGTTTGAAGTGGGATCCAATGATATTTTCTTTTTCGCATCAACTCAATTTTGCCACAATGGATGGTTAAGGAAAAAATCGATCACCAGAACAGCATATTTTTCACATTACATCCATGTCTTCTCTTGAAGTTCAATTATTCTTTCACGATTTTCTGAAAAGTCTCAGTGCAATGAAGTACAGTACTGAATCTCAAGAAATATTACGCAAAACTTCAAGTTATATTCCTACAACGTTCATAATCTGCAAGTGGCATCAAACAGATGTGGCACTGTCAAAAACAAAGATGAAACAAATTTCCAGAATTGGCACTTCAAAAGTTTTTAAATTGGTTCTTTGACTTCAATGGGAACATATTTGGTTCTTCTGTTTACAAAAAATTGAGGAAAAGTCCCCAGCATACAGTTAGACCCCCACATGCAGACACCTTGACATGGGGACAATTTGACATAGGGACATTTATTTTTCAATAAAAAAAAATAAAAAGGACCAACATATGGACACTGACTCAACATGAGAACATTGCATGATAAAATTGCCAATACATTTCAGGAAAATTGACTTTTACTAGGCTTAATTGCATTATTGGGTTGAAAAGATATTCACTGAATCAAATTCAAGTGGCAAAAACATTTTTTTCATCAAATTCTGAAGAATATTTCTTTCATAAAACACCAATTAAAAATTATATAAAGTAAGTCTAAGGGAAAACAAGACTCAACTTAGGGACATTTTGACTTAAAGACACTCTTGATGCACCAATTATGTCTGCATCAGGGGGTCTCGCTGTATTTAAACAAATTCTGAACTTTGAGAAACAGAAAATAACTGTGCTGACAAAAACCATGCAAAATCTGATCTTTGGCATGGAAGACCAAGCAAAAGACAAAAAAAATCTGTCTACACAGTAAAGGATGATGGGAAAAACTCTGAAAAATAATTTTTTTTAAATTAGCTTGCTTTGGATTGTGAAAGAGAATAAATTGATCGTAACATTTATTTTCAAGTCTTGTGCATATAAATTCCTCAATTTGTTCAAGAGACATCAACATTTTTCGAAATACAATTTTCTTTAGTTTAGAAATGTTGGGAAAGGATTCATATCCACAGACTTTGTCAATATGTGGGGGCATAATTTTTCAGTTTCAAGTGTCCCCAAGTTAAATTTTACATATGTCAGGGTGTCTGTATGCCTTACTGTATGCAAGTGGACTCTCTACGTAGTCCACAACAAAATTCGAGGCACCTGAAAAAAATTCGTTGCAGAGAGAATTTTGTTGAAGAGCTAAATTTCGTTACGCAGAGAAAATCGTTATACAGTACAGTCAAACCTCTTTCAGTCAAATTTCAAGGGACCCACAAATAAATTTGACTTAGGGAGGTTTTGATTTGTAGGGGGGGGGGGGGGTTGAATTTCATAGGTTGGAACTATAATACTGTACAAAGCCCTTTTTGCTGGGAAATTTAGAAAAAATGTAAATGGTGATATTCTGAGGCTTGAATGGCTTCTTATTTGAGTTGAAAGGCTGCTGAACTTGGAGACAGGGGTTCATTTGTCCAATAAAGTCTTTGATTCCTTTAAAACACTTGAATTTCTGTTTGCATTGCTTTTTTTCATTTTTTTATAGAAAATTAATGGCCAACAGGCCACAGAAAATTCGACTTTTGGAGGTTTGAGAGGAAACGCTTTCAACTTAGGGAGGTTTTTAATCTATTGGTTCCAAGGGGATTCAAATGGGGACTTGAAAAAAATCAACTTAGGGGGGTATTCGACTTGGGGAGGTTCGAGTTATCGAGGTTCACCTGTAGAAAAAAATCGCTGAGAGAGCCCACCTCTATAATCTACTGTATTTAGGAGAGGGGGGGCAGGAGGAACACAGAAAGTTTACTTTTTCATTCAGCATTACAACAAAGGTCGTTACAAAGAAAAGAAAAGAAAAAAAAGTACCCTTGTAAAGGAATGTCCAAGAGGAACGAACACACACACACAAAAGCGAATTTTTCATTTCAGCAGCGACAACACCGACGACGAACCTGTTCCTTATCTTTGATTTTTCTCCACGGAAGAGAGCCGTTGACGAACTCCACCAGCATGTAGAACAACGACCAGAGGTCATCGTGTCGCCCCATTTCCTTGTTCTTGTGGGCGTTGAGGCTGGCATAGCGCACCGTGCCGCGAAATCCCGCGGCTGCTCGCGGAGTACGCACTTCCCCGGTCGCGTTCGTGTACTGCCTCGCCAGTCCGAAATCCAGCATAAACACCTTCCGTCCTAAATGCTGCGCCCGGCCCATGGCGAAGTTGCTCTGTTGATTAAAAAAAATATGTATATATATTTGACAAAAAAGTCGAAAAACGAGGTACAGTACATTCAGGAAATTACGGTCAAATTTCGTTAAATACCCCCCTACTCGGTAACCGCCAATAAATTTTGAAAAAATAAAAATTAAACCATCTCCCCTCATTATAATAATAACATTGGAAAGCCTGTTAGAACGCAATCCCCAAAAGATACGGCCATTGAAAAGTTGCTCTGGGGAAACAATATTTGACAAAAAATGCATGAGAAATACTGTACCATACACTCAAACCCTGTTCTAAACGTCCCCCAATAAGCCACCACCCACCGAGTTATTAAAAAAAAATATATACAGTGAGATCCCCAGATGTGGACATAATTGGTGCATCAAGAGTGTCCCAAAGTTGAGTCTCATTTTCCCTTAGACTTACATTATATAATTTTCAACTGGTGTTTTATGGAAGAAATACTCTTCAGAATTCCATGAAAAAAATGTGTTTGCCACATGAATTTGACTCAGTGAATATATTTGCAATGCAATTTGAACATTTTGAGCATTGAATAGTGTACCTCTGTACAGTACATTGAAATATTGGCATCCATAAAAATAACATCCAAGTCACAAAGAGAGAAGGAAGTCCCTTGGTGCTATAGGGAATTTTTTCAATTAGCTCAATGTATGGGAAAGTGATGGGAAAAATATCAAAGAATTTTTTTGCATAGATCTTAGGGTTGGAAATATCTGTTTCCTGCAATTAAGCCTAATAAAAGTCAATTTTCCTGAAATGTATTGGCAATTTTATCATGCAATGTCCACATGTCAAAACAGTGTCCATATGTCAGGCCTTTTTATGCCTTTTTTTTATTGAAAAAGAAATGTACCTCCATCAAATTGTCCACATGTCAAGGTGTCTGCATGTGAGAGCCTCACTGTAGATGCAAATTTCCTTACTTTCTTCAAATTAAAATGTCATTCTTGATGTAATAATCACTCCCTGGAGGGGGCTTCTTCATCATTCAAGTATGACGCACACCTCTCTGAAAATTGTTGCCAAAAATATTGTGCTTGCATAAGATGCGCACCAAGCTTTTTTTCTTGCAATTTTTGAGAAGAAAAAATGTGCGCGATACTCGCACAAATACGGGAATACACCGCGTTCCCACAAGTACAAATACAGTATACCTTCAGGTCCATTGGGGAACATTTCCAACAACTGAACAAATATGAAACAGCGACCTGAGATCAGCCGAGTCCGAAGCAGTTATGTAACACAATATCAAGCAATCATAAAAGAAAGAGCAGGGATGAGTAAATGTGGAAATGAGCGAGAACATAAAAGATCAAGTACTGCACCAGAATAAGAATTATCTGAGGATTAATTTCGAGAATTTATGAATTTCAATTGAAAAATCGTTGAATACAGTTGAAACTCGATGAATCAATCCTCCCTATGTTGAATTTTTTAATGTCCCTGCCTGGATTCCTTGAAAATAATGCATTAAAAAATCCTCAACTCCAAGGCTTTCCTCCTCAAAGCTCCAGTAACTCAAATTTTCTGGAGGCCTCTTGGCTATTATTTTCCTGACAAAGGAATGAGACAAGCGATGAAAATTTAAAGGAAGCGTTTTGAAAGGAAGTGAAAGACTGATAAGGCAAATAAACCCTTGTGTTGCAGAGAAAATGAGAGATTTTTCTTTTTTCATCCAATCCGAGGCCAGGGAACATGCATGAATGTTCTGGAATTTTCCGGCCAGTTCACCTGACCAGACAATTCCAAAAAATCAATAAAAGCTCAAATAAATTCGAATTTATAAGTCAGTCTGTCCTGAACTCTCAAAGGAAAATCTTCTCCTTCACTATTCCTGATTTGTGCACAAATCTGTGATTATTTTTTTATGCTCTGTTCTGATCTTGTGATTCAATTATGTTGAGTGGATTGATTGAATTTACCCCTTGAATTCCTTATCTTATTTGACTCTGCTGAAAACATTCAATACAATTTGTTAAAACTAGGAACATATATTCAAGGCAACCCTCTTTTGAATATGTGTTCTTGGCCTCAAAAGGCTGATTGCCGGTGTTTTTAATTATTTCTTTTTGTGATCCTTGATCACACCTTGTCTCAAACTCCAGCATCCTGTCAAATCATTTATAAAGCAATTTAATGCTTAAGACTATCACCAGTTACAATGTCCTCCAATTCTTCTTCCTTTTCCAACAACAACAAAGCTTGTAGCACTAACTCAAAACATCTTTAACTAATTTTTTTGCTAGTCCCTTCTTGAAGTTTGGCTTGAAAAGGTTTGACCAAACGATGAAAAACTGGTGAAGATTTTCAAAATTTGTAGGTAGGCTTAGGTTTGCAATTTTGTGTATATACAGGTGGAATCTCCACAACAAAATTCAAGGAACCAAATAAAAATTCATTGTACAGAGAATTTTGGTGTAAGGAACCCTTATATCAGGCAGAAATAATCTTTTGTCCTAATGAGCAATGGGAACAGAGAAAATTGCCAAAGACAAGATACTGTATTTACTCAAGTACCACGCGCACCTTTTTCCTCAAATTTCACAAGAAAAAAGGGGTGCATGTCATAAGCTGGTACAAATTTTTCAAGAAGTTTTAGGAAGTTATGTGTGCATTATACTTGATTATAATGGAGAAATTTGGAACAAATGTACCAAAAAAACTTGTTTATACTGAAAAGGTTGAAAATTGATCAGATTTTTATTCAATTCATGTCTGAAGTCACATTTTTTGTTATTTTTGAAATTTTTTGGATTTAGATTCACTAAAAAAAATGGGGTGTGCATCTTACTCCGGGGATATGGTTTTAGCAAAATTTCCAACTGAAAAACCCCTGTGCGCGCCTTACTCCAGGGCGCGTGGTACTGAAGTAAATACGGTAATTGTACTGTACTTGGAGTCCACCTGCACTCGCTGATTTTTTTTTTTTGCACTCACTCTTTCAATCACTCGATTCTTTTCAATATGCACGATCTTCAGAATAAAACGAAATCAAGAAAAATATTTTACGCAGCCACTGTGAAGCTATGCACTCACGGGCTTGACATCACGATGCAGGAAGCCGACTTCGTGGATATTTTCGATGGCACGAAGGATCTGAACACCTAGCCGCAACGTCGTGGACAAGGAAAACGTGCCACGCGGCTGACTACGTCTCAATTCGGCTAGGTTCCTAGCCTGAAGCTGCATTACCACGTAGTTGAACCTTTCATTTCTTCCACAGCCAATAAACCGACAAACGTGATCTTTCCCTGCAAAAAAAAAAAAAAAATATCGTCATATATTCAATTAACTTTGAAAGTCGTCGAAAAGTATGCCGTACGTACCTTGCAGTTTTTTCAAAACTGCCACTTCCATCTTCAATACTTGCTTCTGCTGTTTGGCTGACTCAAGTTTCAAAGCTACAGCTTCTTTGCTGATCAGATCAATGCCTTCATAAATTTCCCCGAAGCCACCGCCACCAATTTTCTTGGTCTGAAATAAAATAAATAAAAAATATTGAAGAAATGAATAAACGATCGTTCAAAACAATCCGATTCATTCGAACGAAATAAATCCGCTCGTATTCGATCAAATCGCGAGGTTGACAGCCCAGCATAAAAAACTGTCATCAGAGGACTGTGAATCAAAATTTAAATCTGATAAACAATTGATCCAATCACAGAAATGATTTTAAAATCGCTGCCTCTCCTTAAAATTATTTTCCCATCATTTAAGGATGAGCGAATTAGCCTCATTTTACAATACTTACAACAGTTTAATTTGCAGGTGGACCAGTATTAAAAGTTGTTTTTAATTCAAAATGGGTATTTTTATATGTGTACTTCACAAGCATTTGTAATGCGTCGGTTCCGACAGAAAAAAATAAATAAAAAAGAATTTACTGCACCACCATTCACTCATCAAATAAATGAAGAAGGATACACCGAAAAATAAGTTTGCCGCTAGGATAACATTCAGAGTCTAGACAAAAGGCTGTCTCTCAACTGTCGTCTTTTTCAAGACCCAGATTTAAAAAAAAAAAAGAAACATTTCGAAACTTTCTTCGGGATCAATGGACAACGATAATACTGGTAAAAAAAACCCAAAATATGCATTCCAGCAAGAAAACACACTGTAAAATCGTTGTAATACCAAGTTAAACGGAATGCGGTATAAAAAAAAACACTGAACAAAATTTTCTCATGAAAAACAAAATTAGCGCGAACATAAATCAACCCTCTTCTTCATCCTTTCACGAACCAAATAATAAAACTACAAATAATCCTGCTTAAATTTTCCAGAAATTCCTCGAACACTGACGATTCGAGCAATAAAAAGTTCAAGATTTGATCTCTAGCGCAAAAAATATGTACACCAAAGACGCTATGGCACTCAATTCAACTCGAATGCGAAAAATTACGACGCTCATGACAGTACAGTACAGTACCAAATTTCGAAACTTCTTCCAGAATTCGTGGAAATTAATCTTTCGAGTCATAAAAATATCTAAATCTGAGCTATATATCTCAAGAAAAAAAATGCGTACAGTATAATAAAATACAAGCACGCCATCGTATCACTTTCAAATTTGATTCGGAAAAACATATATTCATCAGACTTGATGGATCTTTCGATTCACGAAATTTCAAAATTCGAACTCTCGTTGGAATATAGCCTTTCAGTACTGCTGTACCAACTCGAATTTTTTATTAAATCACTCACGACGATACAGAATTTTAAACCTTTTCCGGAATTTATGGAATGCGATGAAAAAGGTCATAAAATATACTCAATCGCAAAAATGAAAAAAATAAAATCTAAAAACGTCACGGCAACACTTGTTACTCAAATACGTACACTAAAGACAGTAACGATCATCGAGAAAATTTCAGAGAAGATGCTGACCAGAGTAAAAAAATTAACAATAAAAATAGCGGATCTGAGATTTCAGCTCCTGATTTAAAACTCGACCAACCATAAAATATGGGCAATAAAAAAATAATAAAATCCAAAAACGTCACGGCAACACTTGTACCTCAAATACTGACACGTAACGACGGTACCAAAATTCGTTTTGAAATTTTCAGAGAAGCTACTGACCAAAGTCTAAGATAAATTAAGATCTAAGCTTCAGCTCCATGCCAACACCAGAATGTCACTCGCAACTCAAATCTTAAAAAAATAAAAACCCCCCAATTTTGACACTCACGACTTTCCATCGCTCCTTCACAACGTGACCAGGCTGCAAAAGATCCTCAGTCGTGGCCGAAGAGCTCATCATGCGGTAACTGCGGAGACGCGGCGAACGAAAAAAGGTTCAGACCACAGTTCGTGGGTGAGATCGACCTCAAACCGCGTCTATCGCCACAGCTGCCATGACTAGCAGAGGGTATCACAGATCTGATAACTGCTTCACCAAGGGAGAGAAGAGAAACACACACACACACAGGAAAACGGGATGAATAACAAACTTAAAACACCAACGATTACCCGAAGGCGTTGCACACAACGGGTACTACACGGCAAGGTCGCCGAGGTTTCCTCTCCCAGCATCAGGCGCCACGCGAGCCTTCTAAACAAAGAGCTTTTCACGCATTCGTATTTTCGGGCACTTCCGCGGTTTTCTTGAGAGTAAAGTATTTTTCGCACTATTTTGGTACATTCCACAACTGACCACCACCAACACAGAAATGACCCACCTTTGACACTCCGGCTTACAGTATTCTTCTCAACTGAGAGTGAAACTCTACAGACCATGTCCAACTTTCCTGATAAAATAGATACACAATGAGACCCCCACATGCGGACACCTTGACTTGGGGACAATTCAACTTAGGGAAATTTATTTTGCAATATGAAAAATCAAAAAGGCCCAACAAATGGACACTGACTCAACATGAGGACATTTCATGATAAAATTGCCAATACATTTCAATAAAATTGACTTTTATTAGGCTTAATTGCAGGAAACAGATATTTCCAACCCTTAGATATATGCAAAAAAATTCTTTGGTACTTTTCCCATCACTTTCCCATCCATTCAGCTAATTAAAAAAATTCCCTATAGCACCAAGGGACTTCCTTCTCTCTTTGTGACTTGGATGTTATTTTTACAGATACCAATATTTCAATGTACAGTACTGTACAGTAGTATACTATTCAATGCTCCAAATGTTCTCATTGGGTTGAAAAGATATTCACTGAATCAAATTCAAGTGGCAAAAAAATTTTTCATGAAATTCTGAAGAATATTTCTTCCATAAAACACCAATTAAAAATTATATAATTTAAGTCTATGGGAAAACAAGACTCAACCTAGGGACAATTCAACTTAGGGACACTCCTGATGCACCAATTGTGTCCGCATCTGGGGGCCTCCCTGTACATACAGTGCCTCTTCCAAGGACCAATAAAAACAAGCATTTATGTATGGGGAAAAAAGAAATACCGGAAATTGTAATTGGTGATATTCCAGGCCTCTAATTGCTTCCTAAATGAGTCGACAGGATGCTGAACTCGGAGGCAAGGGATTATTTGTCCAATTAGTCTTTCAAGTCCTTTCAGAACACATCAAGTAACATTTTCATTGCTTTTCTCCGTAACTCATTTTAAAGGAGGCATGAAAAGTAAAGCCTTGGATTTAGAGACGTTTTCAATGCGCTGTTTCTAAGGGAATTCCTCCAGCGACTCGCAAAAAAATTTAAAAAGGGAGTTTTGAGTTTTCGACTGCAAATACTGCGTACAGTGATTGTGATTTACATCGAATAAATTAAGGTTAATTTTGTTTGTTTATAGTTTGTTGTCAGACATCATCGGAATGATGACAAAATACAAATTGCGAGCCTCTTTCATTTTAAGTTCGGTAACTAATCCAAAACAAATTTTTCAATTGAGTTTTCGTCTCGTTTTAGTCACGTACGGAACATATATTTTTCACGGAAAAATCATTCTCGATCCGGTTCTTGATGCTACGTAGACTTCACAGAAAGGATCCTCGATATTTACTCCGTAGATTTTAATCTCAACTCGCTGAATTCGCTGCTTCATCCAGGATATTTCAAGAGAATTTATATCAACTTTTTGCCCATTCTAATCATCACAACGGACACTCGTTCGAGGCAAAACCGCGAGTTATTTTCGCAATCACATTCGGAAAACGCTGTTTCAAGACTTTCCACTGAGACACTGAAACGCGAGAAGTTCCCCACAAAGCACGCATCGGAGCGGCTTTCACGCACTGCCTTAGTCGGGTCAAAAGCATTTTTGTTTAGTTAAAATCTTAAAAATGGTTCCAGTATTGGTTGGGTGCTCAAAGGTCACATTAGGAAAACAGTTCAGCAACAAAACTGCCCAACATCACTCGTGTAAATATTCAACAGGCAAGGAAGGTGTTTTCCTCTTTCTCACCGATTCATTCGGAAAGAATCCCTTGTGTTATTCACCAACGAAGGACGAGTTTTAAAAATGACAATTGAAGGCTCTTCTGGGTGAATATGCACCTGCACAAAAAGGCGTGGGTACAATAACGTTTTCGCATAAAATAAGCGCACGCACCGAAATGGCTTTTCGCACAGAAGATCAGAAAACATGTCACAAACGCTCTTCGGTGAAATTGGTGAACTTGACTTAATAATGTACTTTTGAAGAAACCTGTTCTATTTGCTTTTTCGTTGAATAACCGACTCTCTTTGTAAAGCAGGAAGAACTCTAAATATGTTCGACGTTTAATGATATGAAAATTCTACTCCACCCTTTCAATGACACAAAGAACACCTTTCTTTCACACTTGCGACACTTCCGGTTCTGTCTTCACATATCCACAACTGGACACGGTAAAAAAAAAGGAAGACATTCGCGCACTGCACTCATCAGCGCAGTTTGACACCCAAGTCTCGTACGCACAACTTGCACACGAATCCCATATCCGCTTTCCAAGAAAGACACGAACAAAAATTACTTGAAGTAAATAAATCACGGCACAGGTTCCCCCATTCCATCACAGATTTTGTAGCGCATTCAGCGGCAACAAGGGGATACTAAGAATTACAAGAAAGCAGAAGGCGCCCAGTTTAAAGAGAGAGAATACATAAACATACTGACATTCGTAACTGGAACGCGACAGCATAAGAAAAATTGGATCACAAGAGGTCGATGGCTTCCATCAGCAAAGGTACTGAGCGGTTTTGCCACTTGAGAGAAGCATGACGAAGTATCCTGCACGAAATTCAGCTCACGTATGCGGTGACAATATTGGAGAATACATTTTGAGAACTAGCACACCGCATTCAAGCATGTTTTCGGGGCATGAATCTTTGAAAGAAATATTTCAGATGCTCTTTCAACTCAAATACAGTAAAAGTAGCCATCGATTACAAGACGAACCTTTATTTGCTGAGCAAGAAAATGAGTTTATTCTTGCTAGCGAAGAATAAACTATAATCATTCATAGCGAAGTTCTGAACCGAGAGTATGTGTAGTACTGTACAAACTCAAGTTACTAGCTCATCTCGCAGAACACGCCCAATAGAAACAAGGAAAAAACTATCACGCCAAGAGCTGAAAATAGTGAAGATTCGTCGGATCGAATTTTATAAAATTTTGCTGAATAAAATCACAGCTGTCGGAAGGAATCGTACAGTTCCCGTTCAAACCTAGGACAACCGAGCATTTAATATGAACATTCATTCTTTCAGCCAATTTACAGCGCGTTTTACATTTGAGCAATAGAGTACGTCACGAAGAATTTCAACCATGGGTGTTCTCAATAAGACGTTTCCTCGGGAATCGTAGTTCGACACTTCCTAGTCAAAATATTTATACACATCGATAACTAATAGTACATATACTTGCTTCGTTTGAGAATAACGTTCTCTTCGGTACTGCACCACCAAAACAAACAATCTGTCATAAACATCCCATAAAACTTGAAGATCACGGAATTGAGGAATCAAATACAACACGGGGATCCGTAATGCCCAACGATGGCTTTTGATTGAACATCAGTACCGGAAAAAGGAGAAACTAAATACTATACATCGTGATCACAATAGGCTGGCACCAGAGATTCAGCCCAACAAAATTATTCCGGAAAGACTAGCCCGCGAATCTTCAAACTGAATAGGGAAACACAGGTTCCAACAGGCAATAGAGATTCGGAATGGCAGCAATATTTTCGACGTAATAGTTTGACGAGCAAAAATCTTTCGAAGCTCAGGGGAAGTCCGTAAACTTTAATCTTGCACCCTTTTCACATCGAGAAACGTCGAGCAGAAATCTTGATGGCTCGGTGGTTCAAAGAATGATTCAAAAGTAACTCACAGGATCAACGCTGGCAAGGCGTACTTCAGGTACTCTTCTTTTTCCCCTGATTAATTATGCAATGATCTCAAAATGTCAAGTATCCCACGGATACTCACGGAGCCACGATTTTATCAACCGTATCAACCGCGCCACTCGAGACACATATGCAGCACCTAAGACCCAATCGCCGAAATGTAATTTCATTTCGGGAGGCTCTTGCGATCACGCCTGTACAGCGTCAAGAAATTCTTCTTCACTCAAGGAACAAGGTTTGTCCGATGATCCCCTCCTGGCCGAATTCACTGATATCACTCCTCCTCCGCAGAATAGTCTTCGTCGAATCTTACGTACCAGGGGAAATTGCAACAGAGTGGAATTCACGATTGCAAGCGCGAGCGATGTGCAATTGACCACACCCACTGTCGGATTCAGCAACATTGGTCAGAATCGGTCCACTGAATTGTAGCAAGAAGACCTCTCTAACTGAACCGTGGCTCTTTTTGGGTCGCTCACGCATGCTTCTGCCCAGCATCCGGACTCCGCACGTCAAGAGTTGTTGAATGGAGATGCGATGCTTGGGCATCATATCGCACGTCACGACATCACGGAGCTTCTACTTTAATAAACCATACTCGCCTTCCCACTAATCCTTAAAAGAATTGACCATTTCAAGAACCAAAGCTCATCACATAAACTAATAGGGTACCCATCGCAGAATGACCTGTCCCGTTCGCCCAGGTCTACCCATTGTAGGTTCAATCACTCACGTAATCGATCAATTATATCTTGTGTGTCACCTTGTGCGCTTGGAGCGACACCTCCGTTGCCGCCGATAGACCGGACAGTTGTAAGAGCCACAGTAGGACGGGTGGGAAAGCCAACATGCCCGATTAGCAATACTGTATAAGGTACAGTAGTGTACAGTAAGAGCCGGGCCCTTAGTAGCGACACCTATCCGTATTAATTTAAGAACTAACACCCGAACGACTCGCCCACCCAGTTATCCTCAGGAATGGAGATGGCTACCCTGATCGGAGGGGTGAGGCACATTCTCGCCGGAGCCGGATCGCACGCCGTCAGAACTCCTCTCCCCTGTGCCCCCCATCCCCTCAAGCCCGGCACCCAACACTCTCTCTCCTGCGGTTGTGCATGAGTGACTTCAAGAATCGGAAATACCTTGCTTATTCAGGAATGGGTGTAGCAGGTATACTAACTACAGTCCTAAGAAAATGATTTGTCCATATATTTGTGAAATGATAAGATGGGTTGTTCCATAGGTTTTTCAAATGTGAAACATATTCTAGGAAATGTGGTTTGAACTTTGAGCAAAACATTATAGCTTTGGATTGCTGAAAAATCAGATTTAATGGGTAGAGAAGGACAAGAGTGTGCCGCAATAACAGCTATAGGTTTTAAAAATGTAGTATTGAGGAGACAAGATCAATTATATGGCATTGCCTTTATTATTGAAAGGATAGAAGTTCTTAACAAGATTATTGTTTGAACAAAAAGACAATAATAGGAGAGTTAAAAAGAATACATTTTGACTCATGCAATATTCCATCACAAAAACTAGTTTTCAGTCCATTTATGTCAAAGCACCAAACCTATGTTCATTTATAGTGTATTTATTGATGAAGAATGTGCAGGCAAGAATTTAATGAAGCATTTCCAAAAGCTTTACAAATCCCAGCAAAAAATGGGGTGTGGAAGCAGGAAGTGTGGTGGTCATGGTATGTTCTCCCTATAGTGCCACATACACCATGCAGAAAGGGGTCCACCTTCACATCAAGCCTCCTACAGTTCCTCCATCAGCACTGCCAATTTCTGGCCATGAGGAACCCCAATGATCATGCCCATGATG